TGATGATGCTGGGCATCAGGGTTTTCACCATGGAAGAAGATAAGAATATGGAATGGGGAAAGGCAAGGAAAAACCCCGTGTGGTTGGATTGGAACTGGAGATGTCAGTAAAACTTGTGATTTCTAATATATGTTTCCAAGCTGATTGTCCGAAAAACAATGACAACCTAGGAGGCTCTGATCTTAGTTTCTAAACACCATTATCCACAAAAGAAACTAAGAATCTTTGGAAACATGGCTGATTCCAGAGCTGAGGTGGGAGGAAAAAAACCTAAAAACAAAAACAAAGGTAAACTTGGAATATCCTATGCCGGAAAGTAAAGAATTGTTCAAAGAATAATAAGAACATGTCAAAAAGACCCCATGAGCCAGCTTGAAAGGTCTCCCACTGACCAAATTTGGGATATTTTCATATTAAAACCAATGATAGTAACTGACTGAATAATATAAGAATCCATGAGTTTATACTAATACACTAATAGGAATGAGAAAAAGAGAAAGATTTGCCTTACAGAATGCCACCTAATATACATAGAGGAATGATAAAATTGGAAAACCACCAACTAATTCAACCATGAAATATCACTGGATGTTAAAATTAGTGTGTGAAAATTTATTGAGAATTGAGAAACAGAATACTTAAGAGTCTCAAAGAATTTCCCCATACAATTCTTATTGGTTTACTAGAAAAAATAAGGAAATTTACAGTGGAGAAATCTAGTAGATATCACCTAAGACAATGATCAAAATTAACATCCTTGCACGGGACAACTGTCACCATGATTTAATGCACATGAAAAGGACAGTGTCACTTCTGTGGTACTCCTGCCAAAATGCATACATTCAGTCTAATCATGAAGAAACATCAGAAAAACTCAAATTAAGGGACATTCAATAAAAAAGCTGACCCATGAATTTCATGACTTTGACATTTTTGAAAGACTGGTTGAAGAACTGCTCCAGATTAAAGGAGATTGGAGACATGACAACTAAGTGTAATGCATTATCCCTGATTGGATCCCAGACCTGATTTTTTTTTTTTTCTACAAAGGACATTACTGAAACAATTAACAAAATACAAAAAAGACTTGATAATAGTAATATATTAATGTAAATTTTCTAATTTTGATAACTGTGCTATGGTTATGTAGGAACACTCCCTTGTTCTTAGGAAATACAAACTTAAGTATTTGGGGGTAAAGAAGCATCACATCTGTAACGAACACTCAAGTGGTTCAGAAAAAAGCACTTATTCTAAGCTGATGATAAAGGGAAACCTCTTCTTTACAGTAGAATGACAACTAATAAATACATTAAGAGTAATGGAGTTAGAAAACACAATTTTGCAAAAATTCTAGTAAAAATTTATTCAGACAAGAATCATCCAGAAGGGGCAGGTTTGATGAGGAATAGAATTATCAACATGGTCTCAGCATTTCTCCTCACAAATTACCCACTAATCACAAAAGGAAAAACAGTAACTATACAGTGGAGAAACTGGACATTTTACTCAAGTCATCAAAATTAGCATTACCAGTGAGGGACAAAGGGACCTTCTGTGCATCTGGGTGGGCTATCTGGAAGACACATCACATACAGTATTTCAAGCCCCACTGCACGGCCTGAATCTAACCACGAGGAAACATCAAACTGAGAGAGATTCTATCCTTTAGCTGCCCTGTATTTTCCAAATATACTAATATTACAAAACACAAAGAAAGTCTGAGGAACTGTTCCAGATTAAAGAATCATGACAATAGAACATACAATCCTGGACTGGATCCTGTGGCTAAAAAAATATTACCAACAAACAACAAATGAAATTAGTGCATGGGCTACAGATTATAATATTGTATCAATGTTAAATTTCTGAACTTGAATAACTATACTTAGGAAAGATGATATGCCTGTTCTTATGACATACACATATGTAATATTTAAAAGTAAAGCGTATGATGTCTACAACATACTCTCGAAAGGGTCAAGGATAAAAGTATATATCAAGAAAGAGAAAATGATAAAGCAAACATGGGAAACATTACAAAAGAAGTCCAAGTACAGAACAAAATATACATTTTTCTTCTACTTAAAATTCCTAAAACAAATATATGCATATATGTGCATGTAAATGTATATTTCTAAGACGCTAAAATTGTTAGTGCTTCCTACACTTCCCCAGGTAAGGGAAGTAGGAGCTTAAAGGTATTTGAAGGTCGGCATAAGGGTTGTAAAGGGTTAAGTCTATTTTCTCAACCCTTAGACCCACTCCAGAGAAAAACAGTACTAGCTTCCAGTGTTTTCCATATGGATTCACTAACTTCTGCAAACATATGTAATTCTTCCACCATTTTGACAGCTATATATTCTAATGAATGAATGTATAAAACTTACCTAAGTGTTCTATTGGTATTTATTTCTAGTATCTTTTTAAATACAATCTGAGATTTAAAAAAAAATAGGTTCTTTCATCAACTTTTACATTTACTTTGATAAAAGTTATGTTTGGCCTTAATTCTGTCATCTTATTTTGCTACAGTGTTTGTCTTTATGCTTTCCATTTAAAAAATATTTTATTGGGATTCCTTCTCATCTAATAACCACTTGTACTCAATTTATGACAGTTATATTATTATTATTTAGGCAATATGAAGATTTATAATACTAACAAAAATTTTCATAGGAGAACCCCAGTTTGCCCACTGGATCCATTTATGGAAGGAGGCTACTCAAGGGGTGAATATAAAATGTG